TCTCTTTCTGCAGGTCTAGAAGCAGACTCTTGTTCATTATTGTTTATTTTTGTAGAACCCCCCCACCCCCCTCCCCCCTTCTCCCCACCTTTTGTCTTTTCCTTTCTCTTTCACCTCTGACTCCGTGTCTGGTTGGAATTACAAAGCATTCAAAAACGAAAACAATAAAGTTTTAAGTATCAGGTGTGACATTAAAAGCAGATGCTTTGATGCTCCACCTGAGAGTAAATCTGTAAGGCTTGTTACCAGCATTCAGACATCAATTCTGTTTGCTTCACAGCCAGACAGGACACAGTAAAAAAAGCAAAAAAAAAAAAAGAAAAAAGATGTATGTAGATATTATATTTACTTGCTGTATACATAAAATTGTGCATAATGAATAATTATGGATTAAGACGTCGATTAGATCTCAACTTAATTTTTTTTACTTCAATTTTAGTTGGCTTATGTTACTTTGCCTACAGGTGGACAAAAACCTGGCACAAAAATAAACAGTGAATTTAGTCTTTTCAGCTACAATGCCACTGGCACTACTCCAGCTTCAAAACTGGCCCTATTAAACCAAATTATGAAACAGTGACAGAAATTATGTCAGGCAGCTTTTGTGTCAGACCAACACATGCAGGTTCTTAGTTGTGGAGCCTTAATTATTGGCTACCGGTCGCAGACGTTGATGAATTATGGGTGATTTGTTTCCCCACATCCCAGGTAAACCCAGACCTTACTACCCAACATAACAGCACATGAGGTAAACTGTATTGTATCAGTAGCTACCCAACCATTTATTGAGCTCATGCAAATGAATGAGAGACAAAGCACACTGCGCGCTGCAGGACTTTGATGTTTTCACCTCCTCTGCAATGATGTTGTTTCTTAGCACGCTGATGTTTTTCCCTTTGCAGTTGTAGTCTGAGTGGGAGGTTTGGGGCTGCTGGGTGAGCATTGGTCTTCCATATTAAGGGGCTGTTTAATGGAGCAAACAGCATCCACTGGCACTGTCAAAGAGTATGAGGAAGGAGGACAGTGATTTTGTTTTTTGTGTATCAGACTGAGAGAACTGGAATCAAGCAGCAGGGATTACTCCCTCAGACATTTCATTGAGAATGAAAATTAAAAAGGGAAGCAAAAACCTGGCAAACAATTCATATTTGTCACCTGGTTCCCCCTCCAAACTGGCTGCATTTCCTTATCAGCTGCTTGCAGTTTTTCCCACAGTTCTTTCTTTTGTTTTTCCACCTCAGCTCTAAAGCCTGCTTCTGCTGCTTTGAGCTCCCCTTTCCTAAAAGCCTGTGAGGGGGTTAGGCTAGGAGCTATTACTGTTCGGCTTTAACCCCTGTGAGCTTCGTGTGTTTCACCATTTGAGGAGGAACTTGCGCTGATCTTTGTGGGTGGATGCTCACAGAGGACACACCAGGACTTGCTGTGTGTGTGAGGCCAGATTTGGGTCATTGTTTATTACCTAAATATGCCCTTGCCTCAGTGCTAGGATCTCTCTTGTGCAGTTTAATGTCATAACATCACACTCTGCAGCAGATTTAGCAGCACTATAAAACACAGGGGTAAAGGTGATGAACAGAAAAGGAGAACCACTGTAATATTTGAGTGGAATTTCCTGAATAGAAATAAATACACAGAAAGGATCAGACACTACAACAAAAGGCAGATAAGTATAGATGATTTTGATCTTAGTGACAATGCAAACACTTGTAGAACATTATTTTTTCCTGGTGAAACTTTTATAATTGTTGCTAATATTATCAGTTTTGAAGCAACATCAATAATGAATACAGGCCTGCTTCCACCATCGGTATTTTAGGGTAATTTTACCAGACCTTTGCAGCATGTGCATGTGTTCACCGGGCCATTTCAGGAACCATCAGAGCACCTGAACCAAAAGGCCCTGTAGAGCCTCTAGGCGGGACTTGTGGGTAACTCCTGCTGATTGGTTGTAACTCTGTATGAAATTACATCAGCAGATGTAGCCAAACTACCAGCATCTTTAAAATGGGAATATTTGCTGGTGAAGCAGATTGGATGGATAAGAAAAAAATCGGCAGAAATCCTCCCTAATGTACAGTGCTGTTATTCATGGCGTTTCCTCCGGTCATTGAACGCCATTGTTTTACGCTGCACAGCCGCTCTCCCTGTCCCATGAATGGACTAAATTATGGTGTACTTTAAAGGAGCAATATGCAAAAATTTTGCAGTGAAATAGTCACAAAATAGGCTAATGTCTCAGTCATGTTGAGAGGAAGGTTACACTGAAACAGATTTCCTGCTTTGGGGAATTGTTTTTCTTGTTGAAAAAAAAAAACGTCTTTATTTCAAATCAGTGAGCTTGCAGGGTACCTTCGTCGATCTGACACTGCAGCATCAGCAGAGGGAGACTACAGCTGTTTTTTTTTCCAAGAGCACTATTCAGAGTAACTTGGATTAGTGCAGCTCAGGCCGACCATAATTTCCAGCTCAGTATTTTCCTTTTGCTTTTCTTCAACTTTTAGTTTCTGCTCCATTGAGGTTCCTGGCAAGGCTGAGTTGGGCCAGCATGGCAACTGTGGCCACTGTAGCTAAGGGGCGGAGTCACTGGTTGCTCCACCCTGCTGCTTCACTGCCTACAGCCATTTCCTGGTTCAGAGTCAGACAAAAACCCATAAAACTGAGAAGAATGCCCAACAACACCACCATTTTAGTGCTTAGCTGTGTATCTATGGAGCATACAGGTTCCCTTACGTGGTTTACTGATCACCTCATGATATTTTTGTGTGGAGTAAAGACCTCCTACCCACCCCCCCACCCCACCCAGAGAAGTTTAATGAGAAATTAAAATCAATAGTACAATATAATATAACAAAGAAACATTTGCAGGTTTACAAGCAAACACACAACTTACACAATGCTAAGAATGGGCGCAGGCAGAAGCATAAGCTTATAAGCCCAGCCCCCCAAACCCTTTGAACTTAAACAAAATTTTAGAATAGCATACCGATTCCATAATTTTTACATCATGTTTGAAATGTATGGGAATATATTCAAATCCCCATTCTAGCTTTATAAAAAAAGTGAGTGCTGCAGGTCTCCCCTGTCCTCCCCTTGCACCTATGAGGGGGCACCCACTTTCTGTCACCGAGCTAACAGGGAGACACAACTACACTCACGTGGATGCCAAGCAGAGCACGTGTCCGTTAGTAGAAACTAACTAGTTGATCCTTTAGTCTATTTGTCTGAACATAAGTTATCCTTAATAATCCAAATCTTACATCGTAGCACATCACCATCAGCATGTGAGTGTGTGTATGGATGGATGAATGACAGACTAGTGTAAAGCCCTATGGATTCCTCTGACTCAGAAAGGTGCGATACAAGTGTGGGTCATGAGACAATTACAGTTGAATGAGTGAACATTGGTCTGGTTTATGACATAGTTTTACAACCCAACAAATATCCTGCTTACAAGCAGAGGTAACCTCTTTTAAAATCAAGAAGATGTAGAGCCAAATCACAATGATTGTTGTGCTTTTCCAGCAGAACAGTCGAGCTTCATCAGAGAGGCCTTCTATTACACCCTCACAGGTGTGGCTCATTCGGACAATGAAGACAATTAGGTCTCTGCTCCACGAGCACCAGCTGTGGCAACAAAGACAAACTCATTATCAGACAAAAGGGCAAACAGTGGAAGTTGTCTTTATTAAGACTAAATGAATAAAAATCTATTCGTAGTTCGACTGTATCTGGAATCCATCCCTCTGGCATAAAGTATAATTTTAGGACAAATTATTTTCATTTCACTAAGAAACATAAAAGCAGTTTTTACCAGCATTTAGGAAGGGAAATATGTACCCAGACATTTCATTGGATGACACACAAAGCTTAATTTCTTCATGAAATCAACCCATAACAATTGGTAAAAGAGTACTGCTATTCCCTCTTGGCAGCTGATTTAGGAATCCTTATTAACACTTTGAGAAAGGGCTATAACAGTGTGAACAAATTAAAGTGGAATAAAACCTAAAACTGCATTTTGAGTCTTTACTTTTAATACATTTAAAGGCCTTCATCAAAATAGGAGCCCAAGTCACTTTTCTGGCCTTACATGAATGACTCTGGAGGTACGAAATGAGCCAATTAGGCTTCACTGAGCACCAAAAAGACAGAGATGGCGCGGACATATGGTGCTGCTTGGGCAATTAGTATCAGTAAACGCAGATCAGACATTACCAAGATGAGAAAAATAAAAGAACAAACATCGTAGTTTATTTTTTTTAGGTGTAACAGCTTGTGTTCTGCAGTTAAAGCTAAGGCTGGGCTGACATTTGGCTAACTCAGTTTTTTTTCTCTAAAGCCGTGAGAGAAGAGCACCAGATATTTGCCAGCCACTTCTTCTCAGCTTAAATCTGAAATGTAAATGAGAGCATGCCAGGAGTTGAGACATTTGAGAAAAGGATTTTCTCTTTGAACATGTGGCCCACTCAGTGAAATTCACTGTGACACTGAAAAATGGGAATTTTGATTGACTGAATTCCTTCCATTTCTTGTTCTGAAGTTCACACTGAACTGTAAGAAGCCCAATGACTAAAAACGAATCAGCCTAAACTCGGAGAGGGAGCTTTGTGAACTTTACAAAGAAAACATCAGTAGAAAATACCATTTTAATGGTTTACCTCTCTCTCAGACCTCTCCTGCTCTCATCTTCCCCCTTTAGGCTATTTGGTTAGAGCCTTTGGAGAAGATGATTAAAAATTAATTTTGGGTCAAGATTGACAGCAAGCACCATTTGATGTGAGCCACAAAGAGGCCACGGGTTTGTTGTTAGCTTTCTGACAGTTTCACAGGCACCGCGAGCGAGGAAGGGCGGAGGAGATAGGATGAGATGGACAGGCTGAGGATTTGTGTGGCGCTCAAAGACTTGTGCTCTGGTTATCTCTGGACAATATGCATGACAGCCTCAGCAGGACTACACAGAGTCAAAGGTACATAAAGCAGTGAGTGAAGGCATACTGTACCAGCAACTCTTCGTTCTCTGTCTCCACCTCTGCCACCGAAGGCAGCTTCTTCGTTTGGGTCCTGATGTAGCACCTCTGATGTTCAGCAAACCGGATACCAGTGATCCCCTTTAAAAAAGAAAACCAAATGAAGAAACACTCAGAAATTCAGACGTATGTATGATTCATTAGCTGTCTGTGATGTGGATATGCCATCAGAACTGGGGCATTCGTTTCAAAACGCTCCGCTTTTTACTGATAATCAAAGCTGCAACGAAGGTAAAACCCTAACGAGTGACAAGAGGTGAGTTTTGATCTTCTTTTTTTAAATCATAAAATATATAATATTGATGACTGCTTGGCCCCTTTAACGCTGCTTTTGCCTGAATGCTGAATGAGGTAAAGGGGGGGGGGTGGAGGTGTGTGTGTGTGTGTGTGTGGGTGTGTGTGTGTGTGTGTGTGTGTGGGGGGGGGGGTTCTCCACTGCTTCATGGAGGGATTTATTGCTCAGGAGAGCCCAGTGACATTGTTGAGAATGAAGTGCTTTCTACAGAGTGCCCCCATTGAATTAGCCAGTCATAGGTCCCTGTCACTCTCTTAATCTGTGCCGTCAGGCGTGGAGTCGCTCTCCTCAGCTCCAACGATGGTGCTCCACTATGTGGACCGTGGCTCCATTCAGCCTGACACACAGAGCCTCAATGAGCAAGAAAGATCTGTTGATTCTCTCTCAATGCTCTTCTATGTTAATCTGAGAAATTCACCCGCTCTTTGGCTTGCTCAGATCACAGCCATTGTATTTTCTACGAAGCAGGGCCGCTCGTTCGGCTCCCTGAATCAGAACAGACAGCTCCGTCTACATCTGACACCGCTGCTTTAAAAATTGTATGAAGTGAAATTTTCATGAGGAGAGCCATCATAATGGACTTGATTCGATCTAAATTTAATTACAGTAACACATGACTGTTATGACATCTCCTGCGAGTCCGTTAACTTGACCGTGTGGCTGAGATTTCAGCTTTTTTTTTGTCTCCCTATGGCGCTGTCACTCTCACAACCAGACACCAGCTGCATGAGACAGAGTACAAAGTGATGGCTGTCATAACCCACCACGTGCGATTCTGTCTGTGTGGAAAAAGGATGGGGCAATAATAGTCTCAAGACACAAAGCATGATGTTTGTTGTCCGGGCATTTTTGTGATGAGTCTTTGTTTAATTTGGGGCTGCTGTGGTGGTGAGCTGCAGCAGAAGGGAAGAGGGCAGCGCAGTGATGAGATGTGATGATTACCAGGCTCGGTCAAGCAGAAAATGAAGAAAGACACATTAACACAGAGAAGAAAAATGGAAAATTGATTTAATTTTAATAGACAATGCTGCAATACTCACGTGTGCAAGCTCCCAATGTTGAAAAACTTGTTACTGCTTTATTATTCAGTACATTCAGAGCTGAGGTGGAGTCAGCAGGTAAAGTTTTAGTTAACAGAGCGACAGCAACAGCAAACTAGTCTTTATTAAGGTTTGTCTCATAATCACACCAACTAAACTTTACATCACTGTGCAAGTGCTGCTGGGGGCCAATGCCAGACAAACGCTCGTGAGCTTGTAAGCGCCTTGTGATTTTTATCTTGAGAGGCGCTATGGAAATGATATTTTCTTCTTCTTCAAACAGGATTTGCCAATTGAAAAAACACGCAGTGTGCTTGTACAATAAAAAATAATTGACAGAAACAACATTTAAAGTCTTATACTCAACCAGTTACCAGTTACTTATTACTTATGCTCAAGCGACATTTTCTCAGCCAGTGCGATTACATGCGCACTGACCAATATCTAAGTTGATCCAGGTCGATCTTGTGGTAATCTTCTTTTTTCCTGTTGAACTGATGAACAGCTGGCGGCTCTGACGAAGACTGAAGTTCCGGCCGAAACATGCCAGCCGAACATGAAAAACACATCTAATTACTTCACTGTGTTAAATAAGAAATAAGAAGATAATTATGAATCAACACACAGAACGAACACACAGAAGAGTCTTTATCCTAGTTTACTTGCGCATTAGAAAGCCAACCTCTAAAATGAAGTTCGTTGCACTCCGCTACAGTAGGGGGCGACATGTGCCCTTTCATGTCAGCCTTTTTCCGGTTAGCTTGTATCAACACAAATAGTAAACAAACACTGGTGAGAGTGAAGCAGACAGAATTGAATCCGGACATGAACAATGGCTGAGGGGATGGACAACAACACAGCAGTACAACGTACTGTACTGTTTGATGGTGTTGCGCATGTTGCTTTGAGGCGATTATATTATCAGAAGACCTATTCTGTGGTCTCGTCACTTCCAGACCGTGACCGTCTAATGGGTTCAGTTCGGCTGACCCGTTTACATGCATTTGAAAAAACCAACACAAGTCTTTTTAGGGCAATACTGTTTTTCTGATGCACATGCAAACACACTGGGTACTTGGGTTTTTAATGGTGTACTTTTTACGTACCACCCATCTCTGGTCAAAAACCTTTTTAGTTCACGTTTGGATGGACACGCTGTTTGACCCAGAGGCTCCTGGATAACTCCACATCTGAGAGTGGCTTGTCATTCTTGGACATAAGACCATTCCCACCAGCAAAATGTATGGAACAATCACATTGTGAAAGTCCACTCTTCCACATGCGGCTTTCGCTTTGCTTTGTCTGTCTTTAGCTTGTTTCCTTTCCAGCTGGGTCATAAAGCCTTACTCGGCTTTGAAAAAGGGATGAAAAATGTCCTCACCAACATCCGATTTGGGTATCTAGAGTTGGACTTGTCCACTCCCCAACAGCAGTGCTGTTGTAGTTCCTTCCTGTTTGAACATCATTAGGAGACAAACTTTGTGACCTGTGGAGAGACTCAGACTCATAGGCACCCGTGCAAAATGCACGCTTGTTTGTCTAGGTCTACCTCCCAGAATGCATTGTAACGTTATGTCACAATCTATTTTAACTACAGTAAAGTCCACTATATGATGTATAGCTTTGGGGCTTTTTCTGACCCAAGCATTTTGCTGTCTATTTTCTTTCGGCAGCTAATGCAGGAAACAGGCGTAGAAGACATGTTCATGCTCTGCGTGGATGTGAAACTCCGAGTGAATCGTATTTCCAAAAGAATACCGTAATTTCCAGCGTACGAGCCGCTATTATTTTCCTGTGCTTTGAAGACTGCAGCCAATATCATGGTGCGGCTCATGTGTAGATTTTTGTTGGCCAACAACCACTAGAGGCACTCTCCAGCAGTAAAGTGAGACAGGCACGGCAAAACGTTATGTGCAGAAGAAGACGCTCTTTGATTTAACGTGGCACGTTTACACATCAGACACACCCTAGTCATGGAAAACACGCGGAGGAATGCATATGCTGCAGCTTTCAAGTTAAAAGCGGTCGATCTGGCCATCAAACAAGGAAACAGAGCCACTGCATGGGAGCTTGGCATAAATGAATCAGTGGTGCAACGTTGGAGGCGGCAGCAGGAAGAACTCAGTCAATGTAAAAAAACGACAAAAGCTTTCAGAGGAAATAAAGGCAGATGGCCGAAATTGGAAAACATTCTTGAAGACTGGGTGAACACATAAAGAACAGACGACCGAGGTGTTTCCACTGTTTCCACTGTGCAGATCATTACTAACCAGGCATGTTTTGTGTGCAGTTTTTATTTTCTAGTCATCCAAGGCTTATTAATGCTGTGTCAGCGCTGTTCTTTTCTTCTAAACATTCAAATTACCGGTAATAACGTGTCAGTGCTGTTTTAATTTTATAACCATCCAGAAATATGAATGCTATCAGTGCTGTTTTCTTTTCTAAACTTGCAGGCATGTTCACCCGTGTTTAAAATTTGTTTTGTTGAATTAAAACAACAACGAAAAACTTCCGTGTAGCGTCTTTCTGTCTGATTATCTTATGTTATGGCCATACATGCGCTGTGCGCCGGAGACCTGCATGTGGCTGCTGCGCCGCGGCTTGTAGTTGAGTGTGGCGTGTGTGTGTAGAAAACCTTTTTTTTTTTGCTGGTGCGGCTTACATTGAGGTGCGCTCTATTGTCTGGAAATTACGGTATTTCTCAGTGAAGTCTAAGTTTAATCCAATAATCAGTGACCAATAACAAACCTGATCACAATAATGAAAAAAAGATTTTCAGTTTTTCATTTGTAGTCAGGTTTGGTCGTCCTCGTGGTCTCTGGACATCAGTCAATCACGTACATCCGAGCAGGATGTTGTGTTACTGTAGGCTATCCTCACCATCATCAGTAGTGTTCCTGCCAGTCATGAATTTAAAAAATGCTCCAAAGAAATTCTAGATGGATGAATGCTGGAGGCAAGTTTTGATTCCTCAGTTTCATTTGCCGTGAGAGGAGGAAGCAGTAGAGCGCACAGCAGAAGAAAAGAGAGGTTAGATTTCTTTTAAATTCCCCTTTGACCATCACAGCCTCACTGCTAAAGGCTACCTAAAGGAAGTCGGAAAAATAAACCTACAAACAGCTTTTTTAATGCATTTTAGTTGGATTATTTGGAGATCAAACCAGGTGTGGTAATTCTTATGTTTTTCCAACTAAAGTGGTGGTGAAATGATGGAAAAAGTGAACTGAGTTTAATTAACAGGAATATTTCTTATTAAAAATGTCTGAGTTCACCAGCTGTTTCTGGATCTGTGTTGATTTATGGATGCTGGCTACCTCCTACTTCAGGCTAGACGCCATTTGAAGGTAAGAAGCCAAAACTGATTGCTGACAGCTTCTGCTGCACAAACAGAGCCAGATATACCTGTGCCTGCTTTGAGAGGCTGACAGCACTTATGTCTGAGAGTCACGTCTGGGCTGCTTGATCAAAAGAGCCAGAATGTAAATGAAAGAAAAACAGCACCTGTGGATGTTTAACATAAAGTGCTGCTGTGTTATTATTACACAACAAAGAAATGGATCCTTTATTTTTCTCTCATGGCTCAAAGACATCCAGCTCAAGTCAGGCCAGCTGACAGCCTTACCTGGGCCCGGGACGAGATAATATTAGATGGGACCCCCAAATGAATTCTCATTTTGCCTTGCTCTTCTGGGCCCAGGGCAACAGAGCAGCTCAGTACCAATACTAACATTTCCACCCTTGCGCCC